AAAAAGCTGAAGATAATATACAAATTCACTATTATCTAAATCCTCACAAAAGATAATTCAAACAAGAAGTTTGAAAATAATTCATTTAGATGCATTTATTAACCAAAGAGATCAACAATATCTCACACACCAAATTTGAATGCTCCAAATCGAATTAAAGTTCTAGAGGACAATTAGTTAATATTTTATTCAATGGCATGTCTGAAACATGATGATATTTGATTATAACTGTGTTTGAGCCATATTTATTGGAAGAATGTATTTTGGAATAGTAAATTGATGGAAAATGTATTATTGAAAAAGAAGGAAAAGTTATTGATGTGATGAAAAATATTATTTTATTGAAGAATGTGTAGTTGAAAATGACTAGAAGAATGAGAATGAAAATTTTAATGTGCCTCAAACATAAGATAAATAAAAATTTCCAAACGAGAATAGAGAAATTAGCAAAGATGATACTATTAAAGAGGTGTATATTCTTGATGAATATTTTGACATAACACGTTTTAAACCCTCAGAAGAGGTCCAGATACCAAAAATAATGAAAATTGAGATATCTCAATAAGTTGTGTTGCCATGAGAAAAGAAATAGGGTGACAAAATAAAAATTTGTCGATAATATTTTTGTACATAATGTACGGTATCATATTATGAATAGTTAAGATGTCGAAATAAATTTATTGAAATATATCGATCGAAGAAATGATTGGCCAAACAAATAGACTAAATCCCAGCAAATTGAATTTACTAGAGAAATCTGAAATTTCTAAATCTGTAGTCTTAATACTTAAATGTGTATACATATGCGAAATGAATATACAAAAAGTAAAGTTGTAATGAAATGTACGACTCTTTATATAATAAATTCATAAGAATTTGTGTATATAGAGAAATTATCATGTGGTGAATGTAATCACAAATTTCTATTTTATTAGTCTGACAATGCATGAAATTTAATATGCATATAATAAACTATACTCAATTCATCTGGCATGACTATTAATGTTATGTTGAAAGATTTAATATGCCTGAAACATATAATTCAAGCAATATTTTTTAAAGGGAGAGTAAATACGTGTTGTACTCCTTTTCACTTGACCAAGATTTTGTCCCATTGGATTTTTTTTGGCAAGATTTTTAGTGAGGCAACTTTTGTGACACGTTCAAAAAAATAATGTACTCTTTTTCATTCATTAGGATTTTTTCTAATAAGATTTGAACAAGACATATTCTTTGTGTAATGAATGTCCATAATATATAAGACATTTATCCTCAAAATAATATTTTTATATGTATGAGACTCTCGAAGAGATCAACAAGAGATATTTTCGAATCATCATGTTGCTGCAGTCATCAAGTTTTATCCCATTCGATTTTCTTGAAGACATTGACGTACAAGATATCAATATTGAAGATATTGGCATACAAAATATGGATCGCTTGATATAGTAATTAAAACAAGAGAGAGCGGTTGTACTCTTTTTTCCTTCAATCAAGTTTTGTCCCACTAAATTTTCTTGACAGGGATTTAACGAAATAGATATTTTGTAATACACACAAATATGTTGACTTCTCTCTATTTTCTTCTCTTTTTCTTCCTAGTTTATATCAAAAAATTGTTTATGTTAAGTTTTTAGTTGTATTGACAATGTTTTAGACAAAAGAATTATTGTAAAAGAAAATGATTGTCACAAAAGAGTTGTAAAAGTTAGGAATCTTTTGGAGGGTTGTATAGATGAATTATGAGTCTTTTGGTTCGACTATGGAACATGAAGAAAGAGTCGCCAAATTTATGCTAGTTTGTCGTCTAGCCGTTGTTCAAGCGTCCAAATCAGAATCATTGTCACCTGACTCTCGTTCGAACGATGCACCTCTCGCTCGTCTGTCGCTAACTTGTCACTCGAGCAACGGTGTTTTACGAGAAACTCTAGCTTGTATTTTTCAAGAGTTTTATCTATCTTATACTACCTAAATTCATTCTATTATAAATATACAATGGTCATTACAATTTTGGGTGTGATTGATCATTATTTTACATCTTCATAACATCATTCTAAGATCCAATAACACATCCAAATATTTAGATTATCCTTCTGATTCTTGAAATCTATCAACCACTAGTTTGGGGAAAAACATCAAATTCATATAATCCAAAACATCAACTTTCTAGATGTTATCAGGAAGGTACTTTCTCAATAGCTTTCAGATGTTGTTGAAGATTGAGAGAGGTTGGACCAGGAGCACAGAAAGAGTACAAGAACGAGGCATTATTGATATTCTACATAAGATAGACAATTTCAGAAGATTAAGAGCAGGTGTACAATTGTACCCCTGTAATTCTAGAAATTATTATCATTGTATCTTTAATCCTTCTCTAAATATGGACATTGGTTCTTAGTATAACATACACAAGTCTGTTGACTTCTCTCTATTTTCTTCTCTTTTTCTTTCTAGTTTATAACAAAAAATTATTTATGTTAGATTTTTAGTTGTATTGACAATTTTTTAGACAAAATGATTGTAAATGAATAGGATTGTTACAAAAGATTTGTAAAAGTTAAGGAATCTTTTGGAGGGTTGTATAGATAAATTAGGAGTCTTTGGGTTCGAGTACGGAACAAGAAGAAAGAGTCTCAGAATCTATCACCTAGTTGATGTTCAAGCGACCAAAGCAGAATAATTATCATCCGGCTCTCGCTAGAGCGACGCACCTCTCGCTTGCCTGTCGCTAACCTGACGCTCGAGCAACAGAGTTTTACGAAAAACTCTAGTTTACGTTTTCATGATCCAAGACCATATCTAAATATTTAGATTAATCTTCTGATTCTTGAAATCTATCAACCACTAGTTTGGGAAAAATATCAAATTCATATAATCCAAAACATCAACTTTTTAGTTATCATCAGGAAGGTACTTTTTCAATAACTTTCAAAGGTTGCTGAAAATTGAGGGAGGTTGAAACAGAAGCACAGGAAGAGTACAAAAACGAGTCGTTCTTGGTGTTCTACAAGAGATGGACAATTCCAAAAGATCGGGAGCAGATGTGAGTGAAGCACGTTACATCGGGTTTTGGACATTGCAGGAATTTGATCAGCGGGCCTAGTAGATTTTCTAGGCTGGATCATACTATAAGTTTTTATTGTATATAGTGAAAACTAATAGCTTGGTTTCGAATTTTTACCCAATTAAGGATTTCTCTATCACCAAATCTTGTGTTATATCCTACTTTAATTATTTATTGCAGCAATTCAACATAGAATAACTTGACTTAATTGACTAAACATATAGAACAATTAAAAAGTGACTTGTTGCTTATATTTGGTATATTTAATTACGCGTTATTCACCTATTAGGTAATTTTAGGGTTGAACTAGTAACTTTCAATTTGTAAGTGAAAATCCATTTATAAGATAAAATTTACGTCCAAAAAAATTAGAATTCAAAAGAAATCACTCAACGAGTTTTAGATAATATTATAAGAACAGTATTGTAATAGTTTTGTTACATTTTTCATTATTTTTTATGTATTTGGTATTAGAACAGTGTCGCGTAATCTGTCTTGATACAATCCCCTAATCTTATTATACCTAATCCAATACCATGTGCCATAACGTTTTCTATAGTTGATAATGGAATTATGAACGAGCATTCTTTCATTTTAAAAACACATCGTGTAGTCTTCTTTGAGAAATAATAAGTAATTGAAGTCTCTCAAAGTTCAAAGAATTTTTGTTTATTTTTCTTGAATTCCTAATCAAGAAACATGCATATAGGTGACCTGGTTCTGGTTCAGCCAAAAATGAAAAACCCACATTGAATAAGCCAGAGTAAATGGTATTGTACCAGAATCGAATTGGCAAATCTCAACAGAACAGTAGAAACCAGAGCGTAGGCTGCAAGTTCTGTGGAGCCAATATGCCCAACAAATGCCTGGCTGATGATGCTTACTCCAAATGATGAAAATCGGGTAAAAATAGCAGGTCCAGCCACAACCCACATTTTTTTGGATTCGTCCCATATTTTGTCCTTGAGCTTAACTTTTTCTTCCTCTTCTGCTCCGTTTAAAAGCTTTTCAATGGAGTCTCCTTCCATTCTACAACATAGGAATACGAGACAGACGTAGTTTATATATTCTGGTCAGAGTTCATAATTTGGGTTCATGTAAATACTCACAGAGCCATATAAAGCAATAAAATGCAGAGAATTAATCTTATACTTAGAAAGTTTGTGGAGTACCTGAACTTTTCAGCGCTGCAGAAGCAGCAGAACAAGATATCGGGAGGGGCGAGAGAGAGAGAGAGGTGACACTCTCATATAGTTTTCTCGCCACTCAATTTCTTATTTAAAGAGTTAAATTTCTATCAAAACAATAATTAAACAAAGGCTTTAGCAATTTCTTCTTAAAAAGATTTACGTTTTAAATATGAACCTTATAGCGGCATCTCTTATGTAAATGTGAATTGCATCATTTTCAATACAAGTTAACAGAGGCATTGTCAAACTAATGTGTCGACCGAAATAATAAATATTGTCTAAGCTCTATCTAGATTCAGAAACTATGTTAGACCTACTCACAAGTGAAATTTCCATTTTTTATTCGAATTTAGATGTAATTTTTTTTTTTTTAAGAAAATAAAATACACGTATAGGATTATAGATAAAACCTAGATATCAATTTTGGACTTTATTTTTTATTAATTATGAATCAATAACACGTAACGTGTCATCTAGATAGCAATTTATAGAATACATTGCAAATACTCTTACGACTCAATAACTCAATAGTGTATGCTCAAGAAGATGACTTTTTAATTTTATTTTTTATCCTTTTAACATTTTTTAATTTGTTTTTTGATTATTTAAGGCTCTGGGTAAAATAGCTATTTTATATCACTTTTAATAATTTTTTTGTGGAATCTTTCAACACGGACAAACTGTACTAAATTTCGAAAGGTTGGGGACAAAAAGCCCAGACAAAGAAAAGTTTAGAAAGGTTTGAAATGAATATTGCAATTTACTCAATAATTAAAGATTGGTAAGGGATGGATGTTTAGGTCCCACGTGAATTATGAAAGTTAAAACCAATTTTAAATTATAAGTAGAAAATTAATTAATTTCTGTTTCTGTTTTATGCAATTTGATACAGTAATTGCATCCGTGTTTTATCTTGCGTAATTTAGCTGCTTGGAACCATATAGAATGAATATATTCTCGAATTCATTTGATACTTGGCTAGGATTTGATTCGATGATATGCCAGAAACGTCACGTGACATGAATGGTATTTTAGATGAGACAATAGCATGTTTGGAATAACTTTTACATTTTGTTTTTTAAAATAAATTTTCGATGAATTTACTTTGGATCATATAGAAAACTCTTTTAATCAAATAAAGTAATTTTAAAAAAATTATCTAAACGGGTTAAAAAATAACTTATTAGTATGAAAAGTAGCTTTTGGCTTCCAATGCCAAACAGACCATGGAGCCCTCCAATGTATTCTATGGATATCACTATCTAGATGACAAACAAGTTGAAAGACTTCGATTCAGGAGACATTGTGTCCATTGAATATCGAAAATGTTCTCCTGCCCGCGGCGGGCAAGCTTATCCTGCCCACCTGCTGATGTGGCAGGAGAACCCTACTGGCAGGATAAGCTTGCCCGTCGCGGACAGGAGAACGGGACTGCATTGAATATATACTCAAATTCAAAATTGATCTCAAATATGTTCTATCTACAACCTTGATAATATTGTCTAAGCATTTTTGTATCACATCTAAATTTACGTTTAGAAAATAGAAATTTTTGAGTCAGTACATCGGAGCTTTTGAATATACACGGAGATAATATCAAATAATATTAAGAGGGTTTGTTTAAATATGACAAATTTTTAAAACAATTCATGTCAACAATGAAGATGCTTTGAAAAATCATTACTAATTATAACTCATATGCTTTACAAATTCAACTCTCAACATACAAAGGTGAAGATATATTAGACGCGCATAATTGTAACCATTTCTTTTATCTACTTAATATGGGCATTGATGATTGGCATGTTATCTAGTAATGTTATTTAATTTGGATTATGCCCTAAGGATAGACTTCATTTTCATAGGGGCCTTACAGGCCACTCACTGCAAAGCCGGGGCCCCACCTCTGTATAAAAAAAAATTGTGACCCCACCTCCCATGTGTGTTGTTTGGTAGGAGCCCGTAAAAATAGCCCTTGTACTTGTAGTATCTTCCATTTAATTTTCATGTTGTTCAACAAAATTATGGTACATTTTATATATTTAAAAATATAATAATGATACTGAATATCAATAAATGAATAACATTATTCATATTTATCAGCATTATGGCATGTAAACCGATACTTGTTTATAAATAGTATTATTTAAAAATTAATGTCTTATTCATTTTATTATTTAATCCATCTAAGTGTCTCGCGATGCTAAAATTTAACTTGAAAGGCTTGAAAACAATAAAATAAAAAGAATTTCAAGACTGAGAAGCTAAAGATTAATTTAGAGGAAATTACCCCCAAACCTGCTTTTTAACTTCTAATTTTAATACTCGGGTAAAAAGATTTATCTTTCGAAAATTATGTCTACTTACCCGACACAACCCGAACTGAACAGAACCGAACCCCATCCTTAGAGGTGTCAATCCGGGTGGTCCGGGTCGGGTCGGCCCGCCAACATGTGAGCCCGGTAACAGCCCGCGTGAAAAAGCCCGCTCGCTGCGGGTTCCGGGCCGGTTACGGGTTGGCCCAC